AACCCACATGAGTGCCTTTCTAGCAGCCCTTGCTGGCCTGGTATCCAGATAAGGTAGGAAAGTATCCCATATGTCTTGTGGGACATCCACTTTAAACACTCTGGACACAGCCCAGCTATAACCCTGCCTTCCACCCAGTTGGCAAAACAGAGGTAAAGCAAAGACATCAGAGCAGACCTATGGCAGGATGAACACAAGATATGGTAAGGAGAGGAAGAAAATAGTTGAGGTCTTTAGCTGATGTATAGCACACTACATTTAACAGTCACAAAAATACCAATAAAATTACAAATTAACATCCAGGTCATAGAACCAGTGAGGGGGATGTGGAGGGGAGGAGGTTTCTAAGGGAATTTCAGTAACATTAACTTCGGGAGTGACAACTTGGTTTACAGCAGAAAGGGAAGTTAAAGGGAGGTATTACAGAGGGCTCAAGTCAGAAGCCCAGTCTCAAGACACAGTAGTGGAGTGCTCTACATTTTTGGGACTGAGCCAGATGTTCTATGTTAGACTGTATGTCTGACGTTGACAACTCCTCTCCTAACACATTTGCAGCCAGTACGTAAGAAGCCTATACCATCCCATCAAACACTGGAGAAGCAGTGCCTGACCCAGAGGATCACACAAAGGGTAAGGCTGGAAGTGAACATAGCGTTCATAGGTTCATAGTGTTCATAGGTTGAACATCTGGTCCAACCTCCCTGCTTAAGCAGGGTCAGCCCATAGCACAGCATTGTGTCCAGGCGGTTTCTGAATATCTCCAGTAAGAAAGACTCCACAGCCTCTCCAGGAAATCTGTTTCAGTTCGTGTTCACCTGCACAGCAAAGATATTCCTCCTCATGTTCGGGTGGAACATTCTGAACATCGGTTTCTGCCCGTTGCCTCCAATCTTACTGCTCGGCACCACCAAGGCGAGCCAGGTCCAGCCTCTTGACACCCTCCCTTTAAACATTTACACGGATTGAGGTCCCCTTTCAGCAGTCTTTTCCCGAAGTTGAACAGGTCCAACTCCCTCAGCCTTCTCCTCATAGGAGAGATGTTTCACTCCATCAATCATCTTTCATAGCCCTCCACTGGACCTCCACCTCTCTCTTGTGCTGAGGAGCCCAGAACTGCACTGCGGCACACAGGGCAGCTCTGCCTCCTCTACGGAGAGCGAAAACGAAAGCGGGGTACAAATCCCCTCAACTCCACCATTACCTGTTGCTTTTCCCAACACCGCACGACCCGGAAGGCTCCACCACCCCCCAGAAAAGAGACACGGGTCCCTTGGCGGCCGGAACGCCCGTCCGGCCGCCGCTCCTGCTCTCCACCGTCAGAGATGGGCACCCGAGGGAGCGCTCACGCCCGGCGGGGCGCCCACGTTGGGCAGCGGGTGACAAACGCCAGCTCCCACCGCTAACGGGCCCCGCAGAACCACCTGCGCCAGGAGCGCGGCGCCAGGCCGGGGGGAGCGGGGGCAGCGGGAGGAGCGGCTGGCAGCGGTTGCTCCGCCTTGCGGCCGCCAGGCCGCCCTCCCTCCCAGCCGTCCAGAGAGCGCGGCGCACCCGGACAGCGCCCGCCGGCATCTTCGCCCGGCATGGGTCACCCATCCCTCGTCTCCCCTCCCTCCGCCCCTCGCCCGCTCCGCGCCCCGTTACCTGGGACAGCTCCCGATGCCCGCACGGCGGGGCGGACGGGGCGGGACGGGCCGGAGCGGGCGGAAGAGCCGCCTCCGCGAGTGCGGCGCCTGCGCGCTCCGCGTCCCCCGGGGCGCGTTTCCGTGCGCGCGCCATTATCGGGTGTGGGGGGCGGAGCGCCCGCCGCTCTGGAGCCGCTCCGAGCGGGCCCGGCGAGGCTCTCACGGAGCCGTCACGGGGCCGGGCGTTCCTGCTGCTCCCCGCGGAGGCGGGGCCGCTCCCGGGCCGAGGCTGAGCAGCCCAGGGCAGCTCGGGCACGCCTGTTCCTGTGGGCGCAGCGGGGCGGGAGTTTCAAACGCTGCGTGAGGGGAGCCCGCGCTCGGCTCGCCGGCAGCGGCTCGGGGCTGTTTGTGTTCATCCCGCCAGAAGGATCCGCAGGCGCTGAGGAGGAATCTGCAAATGCTGGAGCGCGCCGCTGCTGTCCTTCGGGTGTGCTGGTTTATTGGCAAAGCTGTGCTGGGGTAACGCAGAGAGAGGGAAAGTTGTTAAAAACGTCAGGGCTTTCGTGTTTCCTCTGCCGTACCTTTCCTCCTTTTTAAAGGCCTCCGGGTGAGACATCAAATATATGCTTAGCCGTCTTTGCAAGTTACCTTGGTCATGTGTGAAAGTATCTCTGTATGAATTGAATTTCAGCGGTAAATGCTTTCTGTGGTTATTTTTAAGTAACTGGCATTTCTGGCAGTGTTAAAAAACTTAGTAGAGCAGAATGTAGTCTTAAAGCACTATATACGGCATAAAAGCTTTATAGGTTTAGCACATTCTGGCCTGAAGAGACATTGAAAAGGTTTTGTAGGTGAGTGGTTATTTTTACTGTTAACCATCTTCAGTGATTTCTAAGTATATGCAAATAAATCAAGTTCAGTCTTGCTTCTCTGGAAGTTGCCATCTCTCTAGGGTTGGAGGCTCGTGATGAACGAAGCTGTTAAATAAAATCCGAGTAGACAGATCATTCATGTTAAGAATAGTTAAGCTATTTGTACGCTGAATTCAAATTTAAATATTTTATGAAATACACTCAAAAAAACCAAAGACTGCTACCAGTCTTGTAGGCTTTCATAACTCACTGTTAGATATATATTCAAAGTGATGTGAAAAACTTAAGTCCTCAAATAGCTATACTTTATTACAGTGAAAAAGTCGACTTTTTTAGTTTTCAATTTTTATACTTTTTTATTATTTGTAATCTAACCAGATATAGGGTGTTTGCAGTGTATTTGTCTTTCCCATTAATTAAGTACTATGTGACACTCCATAACAATATTTAGAAACTAACAGGTGTTTTTTAAGAAATTGTATTGATGCAGACTAGCAGAAACCAAATTATAATACCAAAAAGACATCTCCCTTCTTTGCTAGGTGTTCTCTCACTGAAGGTGAATTATTGTGCTTGTCTTTTGGGAAGGTTTGGATACTTCCCCTGTGCATCAGAGAAACTGATTATCCTGGACTTCAAGAAATTGTACTATGTAGCCGTATGCTTGATTTGTATTTTTAACTAATTTTTATGTGCTTGACATACAACAACAATAGCAATACTCTCTCTGTCTGCATACAACTAAAATGAGGTTGAGTCATTGTAGTAGTTAAAGAAATGGATTAGAGGCCTGGATTGTGTTGAAAGTAAACAACCTGGAATTGAATAGCTGCCTTGCTTTAAAACAGAATTAAGAATATGAAAGAATGCACCCTCCAAGGCAGGCTTGCTGTCCTGACAGACTCTGGTGTTAATTGTGAGAGACCACACAGTGGCTTAGCTCCTCATGTGTCTTAAGCAGATCTCTCAGATCTCTAGAGGTCATCTAGTCTGATTTATTCAAAGGAGCATTTTAATTTATCTGATCGTACAGTAGTGTAAAAAGCAGTAAGAAATACAAAACATTCCACATTGTACTTGATTTTTATATTCTAATATTGGGAGAGAAGAGAGAAAATAAATAAGCATGAGACAAACTTTGTACCATAAGACAGTGCAGGAATAAATTGGTATTGTGAGAGTGGAAAGCAGAGTATGTGCTCGAGGCCTTGTATAAAACTGGCAAGATGTGAAAATCAGAAGAATAATGAAAAGAAGAAAATGAGCGTGGTAATGGGGTACCATGGTGAGTGGAGCTGTGTAAGTAAAGTTACATAAGATGAAGAGATATACCTCCTAGTGGGTGTATGTTTTCAACTGGTGTGCATTATAGGTAGTGCTAGTCCTGCAGTACCAGAGTTGGCACAGTGAAACACACTGGTATGTTTCTGCAGTCACAGTGTTAGAAATGCCAGGACATTTGTTTGGGAGGCAAATTCAGAAGTCATCATGTTGCACTGAGAGCTTAGTAACAAGTTGGCCCAGTCCTTTTTAAGGGCTCTGTGATTGCCTGAAGTGGTAAGTTTGGATTTTGTGCCCTAAGTAAGAAGTTCAGAAAAGTAACAATTTTCTGATGAACGTGGATATCCTGGCCAAGAAAGAGGTGCACCATCCTGAGCCAGGTGTGCATGTTGCATGGAGCTATTCCCCAGGCATCCAGGGCCAGAATAAAGTACTGCCTCCTTCTTAATACTGCATTGGAGTTCTCTTCACAAATTTCAGTGCCAATCACTGCTGATTCCCTGCTCAGAGAGGCTTCCATCAGCACTAAAAGTAGGACAGTATGGCAGCTGGATGTTAAGAATGTCTGCAACCTGTGAAGCAGCCACAGCAGCAATACCATCTTTTTTTTCCTGAACTCCAACCTGAATTTCCTAAGCCAGAATCTCTGGGTGTTGACCCCTGTTGTATCATCTTGGAATGCAAGGAAAGTTTAAATTCTGTTGTCATTGTAAATATTCCTCAAATAGCTTTAAGCTACTTCTATTTTATCAGAAAATTTTAATGTGAATCCTACCTCAAATCAGGACGTAAATTCCTTAAGAATTCTGTGGTTTGTTTTTTTAATAAAACTTGCATTATGTTTATGTAAGGGACACGTAAGACTTGGAAATGAATAATTTTTTGTTTATTTTTTTCTTTTCCCTGAGTTTGGTTTTATTTATGTTCAGCTTATTATTATATTTATTTATTATTCAGCTTATTCAGTAATGCAGCTGTTCTGTCCAAAGAAGGTATTTGGTAATAAACCATCTGTGAACTGGAGTCACTACACTTAGAAGACTTGGAAGTGGACTTGGACTTGCAAGTGTTCTTGCCTCCAAAAAGTAGCACTTATAGTGGCAAATATTTATCTTCTGAACTTCACAGTCATAATTCTTCACTTCATGCCATGTGCTGAAACTGTTTTATTTTCTTTAGTCTCCACAGTTAAAATCTATCTTCTGACAACAAGGAAGCGCAAACAATGGGAGTGACTTACCTGTGGCAAATCCTTGAGCCTGTGAGGCAACCTGTCAACATAAGTAGTCTCAGAGGGAAAACACTTGCTGTTGATTTAAGTTTATGGGTTTGTGAAGCACAGACTGTTAAAAAGATGGTTGGAGTAGTTACCAAGCCACATCTCAGGTATCCATATAAATTATTTGAGCCAAATGTCTTGGAGCTGTATAATTTAAATATGTTACTTATTCAATAGAATTCTAAGAGTAGCTTAGAAAAATCAAAACTGGTGTTTTGATTCAGTTATCACTTATGCTACATATGTAAAGGGTTTGAAGTGAGTTCTAAGTAGACCCCCATGTTGAATTAAATATGTTTAAGTCATTCTTCAGGCATTTGAACAAACTTGAGGAATATGGATCTATTTTTAATTTAAATGAGTTATCTAAGGAATGAGCATGTCTAAGCATCTGTAATTTCAAAGCACTGTTCTCTGCAAACAGTGCTAACAATAATGAAAACATACACAAATTTTCATCAGTGCTTGTTGTTAATTACTAGTGTAGAATACTGAGTTACTACATGGTGTTATACACTCCTGTGACTTCTGTTGAATTCAGCACGATATAAAATATCAGCATGATACAAAATCTCAGAATTTTCTGAGAATAATGTCTTAAATTGTTTTATACTTACAAACTCAGATGGATAATTAACTATAAAACTGGCAGGATTACCAAAGTCATTACATCAGTGTGGTAGGATGTCCTGTGTGCAGTGGAATGGAAGCATCAGTCCAGATCTCCAAAGCAAGACAAGGAGTTGAACAGATTTCTACCAAAAAAATGTTTTCAGACAGTTGAAAATATTTTTTTGAGAATTTGTATTTTCAAGTAACTTATTGTTTAGATTGATTTTTTACATCATTTTTGAAAATAGAACTAACCTCAAAAGACCAGCTTACTGTTTTTGCTAGTAGTAAAATTAAATCTACAAAATTAAACCTAGTGTAATGGTCTCTCCATGTCTGTCAAAGTGATATAAATGTTTGATCCACTCCTTTGGAAAGATTGATAGTGGAATTACTGGTTAAAGCATATGCTGTTTGATATGACTGCTGTTAATTTTACTGTTACAGTCCAAGTATTTATTACTGCAGCCTTGTAAAGCTTCACGCCCCAGTGGTGCTGGTTTGCATATGAAAAATTGGCATTGTAATGGTATCTAGAAGTCTGTCCAATACTACAGCATTCAGTCACTTGAGGTGCACCTGTATTGATAGATCTGGGGTTAATATTTGATATAAAATAATCAATGTAAATATGTGTTTGGAGGCAGATTTTGGATATTTAATATATTTTTATTAAGCCTTTTAAGTTTGCTTACATCTTTACACCCAAAAAAACATCCTTTCTGTTGGTATTTTCTTAGGAATTTTATAAAGCTGCTACAATTTCATAGCATGACAATTTCAGCCAAAGACAGGAATATAGATCAGAGGTTTGTTTAGATTGGGGGCGAGAGAATCATTAGAGGTAAAGGCAATGCTAGGATTTTTCCAGTGGTAGGGTCAGGAAAATATAAGAGAAATGAGGAAAATGTCTGAAGAGATCAGTCTTCACAAATAGTTCAGCTTATGGAACACTTTGCTTTATTGCAGAAACCTGTTTTTTCGGTTTTCTTTCTTTGCATCAATGGGAATTAAACTCGTGTTTGTCATGGAGGGAGAGGCCCCCAGGCTGAAAGCAGGCACCATGAGCAAGAGGAATGAGATGCGCTATGGGCCTTTGAAGAAAGCTGGAGCTGTAAGAACAGGGAGATCTTTATTTACAGCCATGTTAAAAGAGGTGGGTAACTGAGTGTTGAAGTATTTTTAATGTGATAGAAAGAAATCTTAACCAAATTAAATACAGGAGTTTGAAATAATTGATAACTTTTGCTACAACCCACCCCTGAAGGCCAGGTAACTGAGGTTCTTGTTGAGAGATTCCTTTGGGGCAGATTAGGGTGGAATGGCACTGAATGACTGGTGTGTACATTTTTTACACCTGAGCCAGTTGTGTAAAGGAGGAAATTGGCAAGATAAAAAAAGCATTATCCCACCTCACAGGATCTGATTATTGTTGGCCTCACCCAGCTCAAAAACCAGCTTGTTGCTAAACAAAGGCTGTTTTTTGTTGGCATCCTTCCATGGTGGGCGTGCACTCCCTGTCATACTGCATCAGAGGTTTCACCAACACACACCCAAAAATTCTCCTGCTCTTTGGCTGGGGGTGCAAACGTGCCCTCAGCAAAGCACCTGCTGCCTTTTCAAGTGACCAGTTGTTAGAGTTATTAACTCCTATTATTTCAGTGTCTCACAGCTTTATATACAACAAAAGTAAATGATGTTTTGAAGTTTGAAGGAATGTGCACCTTTGAAGTCAGGCCTTACAGCATCTGTTAAGTGTTATAGAAGACAAACAGTGTCAGAATAATTTTCTTATTGATATGTTCCAGCACAAGAGCATGTTGTGCTGTTGTGATTGACAACCATAACTGAGGATTTATTGCAAAATTTAACTTAGCTGTTCTTTTATGGTGTTAGTATCCATACTTCTTCATATACTCCCACCCCTATTAACCATTTATGTCTATTCAAAAATCTATGAAGTAGAATTCATGGCCGTTCAGGGCTTCACTGGACTGTACATACCAATTCATGTTTTATTCTAAAATTCTAAAATAAAATATTTTCTCTGAAATCTGTATGTATGTATCGGTGTGTCTTGCACAGTGGTCTAGTCTTGGTAGGATGACAGCATTGTACTTCTCTGCTTGATACTCTTGGGAAGTTTGGCATATGTTGGAAGATGTGTCTGTTCTGGCTCAGCATTACTGCTGGAGTAAATAGCATTGCTTCTCAAAGATAAATACTCCTTTGTTACTACTCTTCTGAAAACATCCTAAATGTCTATTTAAAGTGTAAAGGTTTTTGTGAAGGAGTGGCCATTAATCATGCTGTGTTCAAGCCCTCTAATTAATACTTAGCTCTTTGTGGATATCTACTATTTCACTGTTACAGGAAATTATTTTTTGCTGAAGTAGTGCTTTCATTGATGAGGTGTTACATAGGCAGAATAACAGTAGCAGTTCTTAAAGGCACTTGTGTCTGAGAAAATGCATGCTAATAAGTGAATTTAATAGCTCAACATTCAACCTCTTTCCTTTTGTTCCTTCTTTTAGTGTCTTGAACTGCTGGAATGTTTAGGTGTCCCTTGGGTTCAAGCAGCTGGAGAGGCAGAGGCAATGTGTGCCTACCTAAATGCAAAAGGACTTGTTGATGGCTGCATTACCAATGATGGAGATGTTTTCTTGTATGGAGCTCAAACAGTTTATAGAAACTTTGCCATGAATGCTAAGGTAATGTATCTCACCCTGTTCCCACCCTTTCTATAGACTCTTTATAAAAATGTAATTAGAAGGAAAGGACTTGAAAAAATACTTATATGTTATTAAACTTACCTTGTAGTAGTTGGGTTTGTTTAAAATAGTGTGTTTAAGACAGGAACATTTTATTTGATTCACTGGTAATTGTTGTATTGGCTGTGAGAGGAAAACTACTGAGAATAGGGTAATATTGCCTGTTTGTAGTACCCTGTGGTGTCTCATATAAAGTTAAATTGCAATTTTTTTCCTATTTCCTTCTTTATTGTGGAGAAGTTGAGCGAAGTAATTACTTCCTATAAATTTTCCACTTAAGTCATATGAGAGTGATCAGCCTCCTGGGTCTAATAAGTGTTCACATACTTGCATCTTACAGGTTCATTTTATTATGAATATACTTGCAATTAATGCTGTTCGCCTCAATTGGATATGAATAGTGTAGGGATTGTACATCTGTATCACAATCAATTTTTGTGATCATTCAAAAACCAAATAATTTATGGCCTTAAACTGAAGTGTTCATTTGTTAAGAATACAATTTTCCAGAAATGGAGAAAGGCTACTCCAGATTTCTGTAATTTATAATGTTCATCTGAAAGACTTGTTGAAAAAATACATTGGAGATATGAGAAAATCAATAGAACAAAAGAAGTGCACTACAAATAATTAACTCTGAAAAAATAATTAGGGTTGATGGAAGGTTATTTGCTTTGGTGACACCATGTTTGAGTTCTTCCTTGACCTGGTTCTTTCATTCAGCTTCCTTGTCATTTATCACCAACAGTGAAGGCAAGCTCAATCTTTCAGGTGTACTTAGGTACATATATAGGTCAGCATAAAAAACAATTTGTGAGTGTGCACACTGTCAGGGGCAGCCGTTCTAGCAAAATGGATCATTTCAGTTTGTTGGCTTGTGGGGGGGATTTTTTTGTCGTGATTGAGGAAGGAGACAGTGGCCTGTGTTTTAATTCATGTTAATCTTGATTCCATTTTGTATTTGAGTCCTTTTACCTTTCAAATATTTCTTTAGCTTATGCCTAATATGTTAGATAACATTTTTATTCTTTTATTTTACTTAGGTAGTACATTGAAATGTTTACATGCATTTTAATGTTTAGGATTACATGCATTCCTGAAATGACTTGGCAGAGCCACTAGGATTTGATAACATTGGTTTTGCCACATTTTTTCTACAGGGAGGAAACAATAAAAACACCTAGAGTCACAGAATATACTGAGTTGGAAGGGACCCATCAGGATCATTGAGTCCAACTCCTGTCTCCCTGCACAGGACAGCCCAAGAGTCACCATGTGCCTGAGAGCCTTGTCCAAACACTTTCTGAATTCTGTCAGGTGTATCTTGGTGGTGTGACCGCTTCCCTGGGGAGCCTGTTCCAGTGCCCAACGACCCTTTGGGTGAAACACATTTTTGTGATACTCAAACCAAACCTCCCCTGACTCAGCTTCATGCTGCTTCCTCGAGTCCTGTCACTGTCACCAGAGTGAAAAGGTCAGAGATCAGCGTCTGCCCCTCTCCTTCCCCTTGTGAGGATGTTGAAGGCTGCAGTGAGGTCTCTCCTCAGTCTCCTCCAGGTTGAACAGACCAAATGACTTCAGCCACTCCTCATACAGCTTCCCCTCAAGGCCTTTCACTATCTTTGTTGCATCCTTTGGATTCTCTCTAATGGCTTAATGAAATTTTCATATTGTGGCACCCAGAGCTGCCCCCAGCACAGGAGGTGAGGCTGCCCCAGTGCAGAGCAGAGCAGGACAATCCCCTCCCTTGCCCAGCTGGCCATGCTGTCCCTGATGCCCCCAGGACAGGCATGGCCCTCCTGGCTGCCAGGGCACTGCTGGCTCATGTTCCATTTGCCATCAGCCAGGACCCCCAGGTCCCTTTCCGTGGCACTGCTCTCCAGGCTCTCATTGCCCACCCTGTGCACACAGCCAGGGTTACCCCTTGCCAGGTGCAGAATCCAGCACTTCCCCTGGTGAAACTTCATATGGTTGGTGAATGCTCATCTCTCCAGTTTATCTCTCTGCCCTTCAGGGAGTCAACAACTCCTCCCAATTTAGTGTTGTTGGTAAACTTACTTAGTATTCCTTCCAATCCTGAAATTGAATTAACACTTTTGGTATCAAGTTCGGGATGATAATGAAGATGTTGAGAAGTGGGCTGAGGATAGGAGCCCTGTGGAACTCCTCTTGTGAGAGGTTGCCAGCTTGATTTAACCCTATCCACTGTGGCTCTTTGTGCCTGACCTGTGAGGCAGTTGCTCACCCATCGTGTAACATGGTTATCCAGCTGTGTACTGGACCTCTTGGCTTATTTTAGTTTCTTTCAACAGTTGATGCCCATACTTGAAGTTCCAGAACTGTAGTTGTTCATGTGGTGTCCATGTATTACATTATAAATTTTAATGGCAATTTTTTTTTTATTAGACCCCTCTTATGGGGTCAAACCCTTTCCTCTGGGTGTGGGTGAATAGGGTTCAGTAAGCAATCCCAACTGAATGTGACTCAGGGCAGTTCCTTCCCTGTAACAGATGTAACAGCAATAATATGTAATAAATTTCTCTTGCAGGATCCACATCTTGACAGTTACACAATGTCCTCTATTCAAGAGAAACTCGGTTGTGACAGAGAGTCTTTGATTGGGCTAGCAGTTCTTCTGGGTTGTGATTATCTTCCAAAGGTAAGCAACATAATTATTTTTTATTTGGTGCTTACACTGTCTTCAAAAACAACAAAATGTATCAAGGGAGATATGCATGCTGGGAAAGCTTATGCAATGCATGATTACTGAGATCCAGCAGAAGATATGTAGGAAGTCACTGTAAATTCTATTTGTAAATTCTGTTCTTTAGCCTTCTAAAAGGCTAAAGATATTCAAAATAGTTCATGAACATCAGTCTAAGACTGTTTTGTCTTGTTCCAAACCTTTTCTATAATGGAGGGGAAGGCAAAAGTTTAGATGCTGATTACATTGAGCCAAGGTGTGAGAACTCCATTGTTTATGAGGATGCTTTGTAACAAGTCACATAAAGTGCCTCCCTGGCAGAGGAGCTGTGGAAAATGAGAAGAAATGGCTTTGTCTGTGCTCTTTAGAAGACTTAGTAGTGATGGTATTGAGCTGTAGTTATTAGTAAAGGCAGTTCTGGATGCAGTTTGGATGTATTCCTGTTCCATTGTTTGTAAATATATAATTTATGAAGAATTAGAAGTGATCTATTTGGAAGTTTACCTAATTAATTGAGAGGAATCTTACTCATAACTACTTCATTTCTTTCTTTTCTTTCTTTCCTGTAAACTCTTAAATTCTTTTTTGAAACATTGAACAGAAGCTGTTGTTATGGCTATTTGAAAGGGAGAAGAAGTGGGATGAAACTTGATTAACCTACAGTTCATCATGTAGTGATTTCAGACAATGATTGCTCCCATTCAGGCTTGCTGCAGATATCTAGTTATTCTTAAATAGTTGTGTCCCAGCTTGATAAAACTATCCTTGAAACAACTGATACTGCTGGAAAAAACAAACCTTTCATTATTTTTGGTTTGGGTTTTGTTTTGGGGGTTATTTTTAAATTTTGCTTCTGTTATGGGAATCTTTAAATAGTTTGTTACTACTGTGTATAGAGAGGGAGTAAAAAAACAGTGGATAATCAGTGGTTATTGTACCAAAGCAGCTCCTGGAATGCCAGGTTCTTACATAGTCTTAAAATGTCACAATTATGTGATGCCAGATAGATCCTTTCAGTTATTGCAGCTCAGCAAAATAGATGAAGACAGAAACTTGTTAAGATAGCTGAATTATGGGAGTGCATTGGGAATGGAGATTGGCAGAACAGGTAAATGAGAATACCATGCTATACATGCACTTATTTTGTTGAAAATACATCAAAATAATCTTTCCTTGCAGAAGCTGAATGTCTGACTTTATGTGAATGTCTGACTGAAGTCCAATGAGGACTTGGTTTGAAATGTACATTTATTTTACATGGCTGTATGTATTCAGTTGTGCCCTTACAACTGAATAAATACAGATTTATTTGTAATGATGCTGTAGAAAGTACACTCAATACAATCTTCATAATCAGGTGTATTGATTCTTGGCAAAATAGGGTGAAGATGGAAAGAACTGGAAAGCAATATGTGTGTATTTTAAATCATAGACTGATACAGTAGTTTGGGTCAGAAGGGACCTCTGAAGTTCACTTAGTCCAACCCCCCTGCAGTGAGGGACATCTTCAATTAAACCACATCACTCAGAGCCCCATTCCAACGTGACCCTGAATATTTCCAGAATGGAGCATGTACCACTTCCCTGGGCACCCTGTGCCAGTGTTTCTCTACTTCATTGTAACTTCTCTTTTCTTTTAGTTTATTTTTGCTTTCTACTTCCTTCTTTGCCTTGTTTTATCTCAGGTGCTGTTGAGCATAAGAACAGCTTGTGTGTTACACTGGCAATACAGCTGTTAATCTGTCACCTTCTCTGCCCTTAAACTTGGCCAAAAATATTTTTCTCAATTTATTCTCAACATCTGGAATAACTTTGTCATTTCTCTACAGTATGTAATAAAGATGTTTTTGTGAGAATATGAATATTTTGTTTGTAATTAAATAATATTTCATATTTCACTATAGGGGGTTCCAGGAGTTGGGAAGGAGCAAGCTTTAAAGTTAATTGAGACTCTGAAAGGTCAAAACTTATTGCAAAGGTAAGATGGAAATTTACTTAAGTGTTTTTTATTCAAAGACTTAACAGTATGTACTTCAACTCCAAGACAATGTTTGTAATACTTTAAGTTAGGGAGGATATTACCACATTCCTTGCCTTATGTTTGCTAAAGGAATTGTTTTGCTAGGCAAGTCTCATATTTGTTTTAAACATGGGCTGGCTCCTAGCTCTTGAGCTAGCAGGTATAAGTTGATAGATTGGAGTGAAAGTTGTAGGGACTGATGAGATTTGCTGATTTTTAGTTGGGTTGTGGATTAGGATTTGAGATACCCAGTGCTTTCTATGTTATCATAATGTGTGTGTCAATGCTAGAAATCCAACATGATATACTATAAAAGACCCCTGTTTCATAAGTTGAATAACTGTCTCTTGGATAAATGCTTGACAAGTATAAAGAAATTATTTTTCAGTGGTTTAAGTGTGAAAGCCAGAAATATTTCTTGATCCTTTTACCATCATCCTTTCAGGTTTGAGCAGTGGAAGGAACAATTTCAGCATGATGATAATCCACTTTTTGTTGTTAAAAGGGTAATTCACTGTTCAGAGTGCCATCATCCAGGTCAGTGTGAAAAGTGCTGAGCTGTACTTTTAGCCTCATTGTTTACTTTTTATTATGGAGTGATGGGTTTTGTTTTATTGGGTTATGGGGTTTTTTCTACTAGCATTAAAAACACTTTTCAGCTTCCATCTTCATGTTTTCAAGATTATGTATGTGTGCCCTTATATAAACATTTCCAAGGCTTGGGACTAATTTTCTTCAAATGTGAAACTAGTGGACAGCATATGGAATGTTATCATTATGCTGTTGTGGGATCTCAGATATGTGCCTTTTTAACATGATCAGTAAAGACAGCGTGCTGTACTCTATACTGCCTAGCAACTATTACTTTAGTTGCTTGAACTGGTCCTGCATCAAGAGGACCAAATCTCATAATTGATGAGGTATGTGGCAGTGTTTTTTCAAGAAGAAATTAATCCCAAGTACCCTGATTTTGGTATCATCTTTGATCAGTGAATTCATTCAAATCCATCATTTGGTGAAGGAAAAGCCTGATTCAAATATATTATTTATATGTGTTTTCCAGGTTATCATGCATTACTTCTGTAGTTTTTTGATAATAAGTTTCCAGCTTAAGATCTGAAACTGTTGAGGGAAAAAGTCTTCAGAAAAATGGAAGCCTGCATGTCTTTTTCAGTTTTTACTATAGATTCATAAATGCAGATAATACACTCAGATCTGCTTACAGCTGCCATTCACATCACATTCATACTTGCTCTGAGCTTTGTATTTGTAATACTGCCTTTAGAGGTTTGGAGATTTTGGGAACCTCTTTTCTCCTCACTTTGTGTGTCTGTTGCTATAGGATCTTACAAGGAACATGAGCACAATGGATGTAAATTCTGTGAAAGTGTGAGATGCTGCAAGCCCAGTGACTCCAAACACCGCTGCCCCTGTGCATGGCATCAGTGGGAGCGAGTGAAACAAGCAAATGCAGTGGAGGACAGTATCAGAAAGTAGGAATGGCCTGAAAATTTAACTGCTTTTCCCTGCATTCATATGCAGGGTGAGCATTTAGATGCATAATTTTTTCCCATTTTTCCTCAGCTCCTAACACATTTGTTTTTACCTCCAGAAAAGCCATGAGTTGTGAGGGCTTTCCATTTTCTGAGGTAACAAACAAGCCTACTTAATATCCATTGTTTTAATCAATTAGTTTAAATTTCAGCTTTTTATCCTCTCTTAAACTGCTTCTTTTATGTTTTATCTCAAGGTTATCCAAGAGTTTCTTATAAACAAGAATAAATTGATCAACATAAAGGAATGTCGAAGGCCAAATTTATTGTCCTTTCAGGTATGTAACAAAATATTGAATATTCAGCTTTGTAGTCTTTTTTTTTTTATTACTAAGGAAGTGATAATGGTGATCTTCATTGGTAATTTTACTTGAAATAAGAATTAAAGAATCTTGCCACAACATCTTAATATACCTCACTATTTTGAAAGCCTAAAATTGAAGACTTTGGAAAAAATCAGTTGCTGTAAATAGCTAGATAGAAAAGTGGAAGAAAGAGAAAGCTCACTTGTCATTGTTTTGTTTTTCATTGTCCAGTGTTGCTAGGTGGGGGTGAAGATGTTAATATATGTACATTAGCATTGTTTTCTAGGAAGGCTTTTTACTTTTTTGTTGTTGTTGTTTTTTATTGGCAAAATCAGATCTCTTCCAATGTTTAATTTTTTGGGTTTGATGACAATGTAAGAATTACGCATAGTAGAGTAGATCAGTTAAACAATGTGGCTTTAATGAAAATCCACGTTCATTGTCTCACATGTGAAACCTGTAACTTTCACAGCTCCTGGAAGAGCTGATGTGAACCTGAGAAGGTGTTTAACAACTGTCTTATCCCTGCTGCTGCCACCCCACAACCATTCCCTTGGCTTGTCACTGACAGCTGATGAATGTGCCCTGCTAGGGATGGCTGTTCCCTCCCTTGGCAGTGAGGTATTGGTGGGCATTACACCAATATATAAAAGTACTCTAGATATTTTAAGTATTTAGCCCAGTGTCCCAACTGCATAACTATCTAAGCATGGTATCTAATAGAATAAAGAATGTTTTAAAGTTTGGGATTTTTTTTTTATACAAACAGCTATTTGCTTCAGAGAAGATGGAATGGACCAAACATTATGCTTGTAAGAAGCTGTTAGCACTTTTGACACGTTATGATATGATCCAGAGAAAATCTGGAAACATTGACTCAAAACAACTGCAGGCAATACGGTAATGTGGCTTGATTTCTTGAACTTAATATGTTTACTTCTGATGCCAGATAAAAACCACAAAGCTTTTCTGAAAAAAAAAAAAGAAATATTGTTTTCTTCCATCTTTGTTTCAAGCTTTGTGCTTGTTTTGAATAGAGGTAAAAATTCAGATCAGTGCACCAATTCTACTACTGCTGCACAAATACATAGAGCAGTTTCATTCAAACTGGCAGTGCTTGTGTTCTCCTATGCTTGCTCTTTGTTCCTTTTCCTTAGATCTGTCTCAGTCCTCTTCTCAGGTTCTTAGCATACATTTGATTGAATTCTGTATCTCAAAATAAGAGTTCAGGCTTAGAAATTAGCATCTGCAAAATTAGTCATAATCTCTGATTGCTTATCAGACCTACCAGCTGTCATTGTATTATGTGTCAACCCTACTTTTCATTCAGGACTGCTACATCTAGGAATGGAAAAATGGCCAAGTATACAGTTACTAAAAATGGACATGCAGGGAAGAAAAAGCAAGATAAGCATGCAATTACTTTCTCCCAGAATACTTTCCCACCATCCAGATTTCTGTTACTTAGGAGTTTACTGAGCCAGAATTAGCAGTTTCTTATTATGTCAGCCCTCAATGTAATTTATTTTTTTAATGATCTAATCTCTTCTTAAACTTAAGTCAACTTCTAGAATCTACAGTGTCTGTTGGCAAATCTGAACTTCACTTTGTGAAGGGAATTGTAACTTATTTTAATTTTATCTGATGGTTTTGTTTCCCAAATGAAACCCAAATTTTCCCTGCCTCCCTAATTCTTTTATTGGAAGAAGGTTAGCAATTTTTCCGTGCTAGTCGAAGTTTTTAGACATTAATTTTGGGGCACAGGAGGACAGTCAATAGCAATGTGATAGTATCACTTCTGGGTTGATGTGTCATAGTCTTGAATTAGTACTTTTAGAGATGCTCATCTATTCAGTGTTATCTTTCAAAAGATTGGGGAGATTGGTTGGAGAATGCTTTTAAAATTGATTAGCAAAATAAATTACCAGTATTTACCTTTATGAATGAATTAATTGACATTCTCTGTTTATAACACTTTCTGGTGTTTCAAGAGTTTAAAAGAGAGGTGGTGCATGCACTGGAAGATTTCTTTTGTTAACAAGTGTTTAAAAATGCAGTAATGGTCCAGCAGGATCAGCATGATCCTACTCTTCATGCATAGGAAGCTACTAAACTGGGGTGTAGATAGACTTTTTAGAAAAATCTCAGTGACTGACTGTCCCTGCTCAGTTCAAGTTGTGTCTCTATCTTTTGCATGAGAGCATGAGGACAAATGACCCTGTCTGATCATTCAGAACATTACTGTCCAGGGCAGCAGCCTTCTCTGGCATTAATATCTTAAAATCATAGAATCATTTGGTTTGGAGAAGTCCAACCATTACCCTGACACTGACAAGTCCACCACTAAACTGTGTCCCTCAGTTCCACACCTACACATCTTTTAAATTAAATATCTCCAGGAATGGTGGCTCAACCACTTCTCTGGGCAATTTGTTCCAATGGTTGACAACCCTTTCCATGAAAAAAATTGTTTCTAATATCCAATCTTGTCCTCCCCGGTACAGCTTGAGGCCGCTTCCTTTCCTATCACTTGTTACTTGGGAGAAGAGACTGACCCACCTGGCTGCAACCTCCTTCAGGCAGTTGCAGAGAGCCATGAGGTTCTCCCTGGACTAAACACCCCCAGCTTCCTGAGCTGCTCCTTTCACACTTGTGTTCCAGACCCTTCATCAGCTCCACTGCCCTTCTCTGGATGTGCTCCAGCACATCCAGTACCACTTCTTGTGGTGAGGCCCAGAAATAGACACAGGATTTGAGGTGTGGCCTCACCAGTGCTGAGTGCAGGTGGATGATCACTCCCTGGTCCTGCTGGCCACTGTGTTGATCCAGGCCAGGATGCCACTGGCCTTCATGGCCACCTGGACACACTCTGGCTCATGCTCAGCTGCTGTTGACCAACACCTCCAGATCTTTTTGCTCTTGACCACTTTCCAGCCACTCTTCCCCAGCCTGTAGCACTGCAGGGGTTGTTATGACCCAGGGGACAGGACTTGGTCTTGTTGAACCTCACACCAGTGGCCTCATCATCAGTCTCCAGACCCCTCTGCAGAGCCTTCCTGCCCTCCAGCAGGTCAGCACTCCTGCCCAGTTTGGTGTTGTCTGTGGACTGACTGAGAGTGCACTTGATCCCCTCATCCAGGTCACTGATAAGGACATTAGACAGGACTGGCCCCAGTAGTGAGCGCTGGGGAGCCCCATCGGTGACTGACATCCAACTGGATTTAACTCCACTCACCACCCCTCTCTGGGCTTGACCATCCAAACCATTTTTAACCCAGTGGATCCATCCCAGCCATGAGCAGCCAGTTTCCCCAGGAGAAAGCTGTGGGAAATGGCATCAAGGGTTTTACTAAAGTCTAGGCAGACAACATCCACAGCCTTTCCCTCATCCCCTAAGTGGGTCACCCTGTCAAAGAAGGAGATCAGGTTGGTCAAGCAGGACATGCCTTTCAGGCAGGTCAGCTGAAGATACCAAACTGATGTTTGGTAGGAGACTGCATTATGTTTGTATCTTACAGAAAAGCTTTTTTTATTTTGTACGAATGCTCTTCTGAGTGACAAATAAAAATGTTTCAGTGGTCAAATCTATACTCCAGATTTTTCTGTATACAGAGTAGTGTATTTTATTTAAAGATGTAGTAATTTCAATTTCATGAGAAGAATTTTTTTTTCTCTAAATCATTCCAAATTAGAATATTGAAATATTTTTAGATTTAAGTCTAGATTTAAATCTTTTAATGGACTTCCTCTTCTTACAGGATTGTTAAAACACGCGTTAAAAATGGAATTCCTTGTTTTGAAATTGAATGGCAAAAACCAGGTGGGTCTGGTTTCTATGTACATTATGGAACAAAACAGTTCATAGAAAAAAATAAAATCAAGCTTTATAGAGGACAAGAGTTTGGCAACACTCTAAGGCAATGGAATGTGGGCAAGATTAGAAACTGTTCCGTGGAAATAACAGGAAATGTGCATCAAATTTCACACACCCTGAAAGAAAAAGCAATGCTTTAAAGAAAACAAATTTACCTAGAAAGCAAGGGACTCAGTCTTCAGCTACTTTTTCTAGTACCTGTAAATAAGACCTAAACTGTGTATTTCATACCTTATTTCACTATGTACCCGAATCTGTCACTGTTTACTAGCTAGAAAATTTTCTGTGCTGCCAGACTCCTCCCTGTAGTGTGTCCATTTGTGCCAGGAGACTGGCAGGAAGAGAAAGACCTCACTTGTAGATAAATCTCAAATATCATACTATTGATTTTTTTATGTACCTTCTTTGTATTCAAGTCTTTGCTGTTTGGTTTTTCATTCCCTAGTTTGACGTGTATATTCATATCAAAAGTAAATTCATTATTTTTTCAGAACATTATGTTGATCCAGAAGATGAGCCTGTGGAGTTGTTTGTAGTCACGGTAGAAGAAGAGTCTTTGTTTCAGGCTGCTTATCCTGATGTTGTTGCCCTCTATCAAGTGGAAAAGTCAGACATACTTCAGAAGAAACAGAAAAGTAAGTCCAGAAGCTTATTTCATATGAATCTATATGTCTTGCCAGAATGCAAAAAACATTTCTTCCACTCTTGAACAATATAATGCCAAAGCAAGATGAGAGGACTGTGCTTTAATCTTACTGTTCTGTACTTTTGCACTAAGAAATATGAACTGTGATTTATATGCCATTCAAAGTGCACTTTTTATTATTTTTCTTTTCAGAAAAGAAAGACAGATCAGAAGAAAAGGAATTACCAAATTCTTATGATGAAATTACCAGTCTTCTGTCTCAAATTAATTTAAAGCCTACGCACAGAATTCTTCCTGTGCAACACTCCATGTCAGATACAAAATCTCTCCCAGAAGATCAGACACAGCAGAGAAGTACTGGATCAAAAGATGTAGCATTACCTTCAGCTTCCTGCCTAACATCAGTTCATGTGTCAACATCAGCAGCTGCTCTTGCTGACTCATCTGTGCCCTCACAGTGCACTAAGTATTCAGGGATGTCATCCTCTTCCTTTGTACCTGGTCTGCAGCTGAGCAGTACTGATGGGAAAGGAACCTCCTTCAGCACAACACCAGCCCATGGAGGTGATGACCATGATCCAGCAGCTGACTTAACCACATGCATAAAGTACTCACATCCACTAAGTCATGAAACAGTAAGAAATAGCTCAGAATATTCTGATGTTACACAGTCTGATATACATTCTGATAGTGAAGATGATTTGTTCACAAATTATGCTGTGGGACAAATTCAGGAGTGGTCTTTAAGTGAGAGAATACTTAAGAAGGCTCCCATTCCATCACAGCCTTTGTCTGAAGATGCAGTGCAACTGGAGTCTTTTAATTGTTTTAAACAACCAAAAGAAACATTGAATCCTGATAGAAATCATGTCTCTTCCTCATGTCAGTTAAATAACCCAGTGCAGGAAAATAAAAATCTTCTATCAGAAAACTCTGCTAGTAAATCCAGCCTACATATCTATCAAGATGCATACAAAAAAGCTGACATCCTGGCTGAAATGGTGCACAAAGACCCTTCTAGAAGTGGTTCAGCATCTCTAGCCTGCAGTGGGAAAACAACAGAGACACTTCATCCTGGGTGTGAAATGCTTCCAGCATCTCAAAAGGCAGCAGATGCAACTGTCTGTCACATTAAAGAAGCTTGTATTGAAACTACTTGGAAAGTTTCTTCTAAGAAGAGTGTCTGTCAGAACAGATGCTCTTCCAGCGAAGACAGTGATGATGGGCATGTGGATAAAATCCTGGTTTATGAGCAGCAGAAAAGGCAACTGAACCCTGGCCAGTTCAAGAAATGTTTTACAAAGAAAAAGGGCAGCATTGTTACTAGCAAAAGGACAAACAGTGACTCAGCCCTTACAATTAAGGGGAAGAATAAAATGACCAATTTAAAGAAAGCTGCCAACAGTTTCTCAGTGCAAGCAGCTCCAAAACCGTCCTCTGTAGAGGAAGTTAATTGTTCCCGAAGTCCAGAGAGACCAATTGAAAGATTGGGTTCTGATCCCACACAGCAAGAGAAAAGTGCTGTTCTGACTTCTGCGTGGGCAGACAGTCCCCTTCCCCTGTCTGAAAGACTGAAAGGAAGAATCAAAATCAATTAGGTTCTCCATAAAATAGATTATGATAGCAATTAATTGTCAGTTCTTGAAGAGTTCTTTCTCAGAGTTTCTGCAGTATGCTCTATCAATCTTATGTGGACACAGTTTTAATGAATAGGAAGTGCTGGCACTGGAGCTGAAGTTTGGAACAAAAATGTTAACAAAAGTGGCAAACAGTTGATTCTAGGCAAGTACCAGTCATTCTGCGTGTGTTTACATTCTGAACTTGATACATAAGCATCAGGATACAGTATGCAAGGATGAGGGAGATTTATTTAAGAAAAAGGGTTTTTTTTCCCAACCAGTTGTGCAGATTTTGTGTACAGCTATTAGTCTTGCTTACAAAAACACTTACTAAACAGTGCCTGCAGTGCTGTTGGACTTTCCTAATAAGACAAAGTGATGCAGCATTTTTAACTGAAATTCTCCATTCTCCTCTACTAATTTCACTTTGCAAGTTTTGAAATGGGTTTTGAAATCCTGTGTTTCTGGTTGTATTGACCATCTCTAAAGGACCAGACAGAGACACACAGTAGATGTACCTCACAGGGTAGCTGAATTTATATCTGCCATGCCCCATAATAAGCTGTTCTTCGGGGGTGCACCTCTTCCAAAGAGTGGAATAAGCCATGTAAGGATACTCTGGTGTTGTAGCTGTCATATCTAATATTTAAGGAAATTTGATGACTGATTTAATTAAATTTAATTAGGACATTTTTTCTTAAAGAAGGCTGAAATCTCATCTAAAATTCACTTCCATTCATAATAGAGTTAAAGTTAAATTACAGAAAATCTAGTTATCGTATTGCAAGTTCTTTGGATAATATCATGTTTGGGTTTTTTTTAAAAGAGGAAACTTGAGTACAATTTTGAAAGTGCTCTTCCTACCTCTTTACTGCAGAAGCAATCTCTGTTCATACACCAGAAAAAGTTGTTCTCAACAGTTGCCTGTTGGAGGAATGCCTCCTTGTCTGTATTAGGTGTTTGTAACTTCTGTGCACCAGCCAGAAGGAAGACAATTCTTGCCAAGACATATTGTTAACAAGAGAAATTAGAATATCTGTGCCTTAGTAAAAAATGTCAGTTCTTCATCATGGTCAAGGACCAAGTTTGGAAGTTGAATACCAGATGTGTTTAAGGAAGACATAGGTAACCTATAGCTAATACAGTCTGTAATTAGACAAAATGGTACTTTCTTAGTTTACTCTGTGGGAAGATGGAAAAGTTTTATTTATAATTGATTTTCCAAATGAGAGATGTATTCTGGAAATGAGAAAAAAATTGAAAATATTGGAAACTTATTTTCAGTTTTGAAGATGGGCTTTGACTTCTGGAGCCTCTTAAGTGCCCAGCTGATGTGAGAAGGTAGCTGGAAGAACAGAGTTGTGAAGGAGAATAGGAGTCACCTGGGAATTTTAAAGGGAGAGATTCATAGCATGACAGAATGGTTTGGGTCGAGGGGGACCTTAAAAACATCCAGATCCAACCCCTGTGCTATGGGCAGGGAAGCATTCCTTATGCAGTGGTCAGTAATGGAGGGATCTGAGTGGGAGTTGGTTTTTTTTTTTGTGAAAAAACACTGGGTTTGGTTATGTATGATTTTTTTTTCTTCCTGATGGTTTTGAATACTGAAAGTTGAAATCAGGTGTTTAAATTTTGATTAATAAAAATGCCAACATCATGTAAACACACTTTTGTTCCCTCCTAGGATACGGGAATGTGCTCTTCTGTTGGGGGATCATTCAGTTTTACCCACAATGTGTGGATTTCTGGATTTAGAGCTTTCTTTAGAATCGGGGGGCCCAAGTGGATTTTGGAGGGAATTTTCTTTGTTTTCCAAATCTGCTTGAGATGACTGCTTCAATGGATGAGTAGGTGAAAATACTGTCAGAATTATGTGAATTATGAAAGTCAGAAATGCGATATATTAAGAACCACAGAGGAAAAAATATTATGTTGCTGATTTTTCCTGCTAATTAATCGGGTTTCACAAGTACAGTTCAAGCATGAAAAGCAGAAAATTCTCCATTTTTTCATATGTAATGCATCCAAATTTTGTTCCAATTTTCTGCCACTACTGTAGAAGCAGCGATAGATGTGGGAGAAAAAAACCCAACTCTGTAGAATGTTCCCTCTATTTATGCTGTAGCTGCTCATTGCAGTAAATAAAAACATTTATCATTGGGGCTGACTGTTGTTTGAATTAAACTTGTGATTCATTACAGAAGGGTAATTACAGTTTTTAAATTGTTTTAGTTTCTCATCTTTATGTAATTTACTCAATCTAAAGATTAGGTATGGGGTTTTTTTTGGAGCTTTTTACTGTGCTGACTGCTTTGCAACCTCTCACACTTGTGAGAATGATGTTTAAGTAAATTGAGGGGGTGTAACATAACTTTCTTCTGCAGAGAATGTTTCTCCAGGATTATGTTAAACTGCCTGTAAGAATAAATCAGTTGATGCATCAACCTCATGAGCCTGAATAGATTTTCATTTATCATCTGTCCTGATCTGTGTGAATTGGCTCTACCAGGGTGCTTCATACAAAGTAATAAAAATGTACCTACCATGGAGGTGGAGCAGGTAAGGGGCTCATCCTTAAAGTCATTTTCTGAAAGGTTTTCTGCACAACTGCTGTCCCAGCCTGAGTACTTTACCTGATCTGTCACTCTTGCTGGCATCCCTCTAGCTTGAATGATGCTCACAGAGATATAGAGCAGAGCCATAGGTTCTGTCTTAGCAGGGTAAATATTTCCACTTACAAACAGTATCAAACATTAAATGCAGCTCATTTGTTCAGCATAGCTTGACAAAGGGAAACATTTACTTGGCATTCCTTAGGATTGTAACTTATTATTTCAGGTCCACAATCAACAAGAAAGGAAAATAAATGCTGTTTACATGGACTTTATACATAGAGAAAAAAATATAATTTAAAAGATCACTTCTCAATATCTCTGTATCCCATTGTCATTTTTCCATTGGTAGAGATTACTGAAATACTCACCCACATGGGAACCTACCTAACAAACACAAAAATTTGATGAACATAATGAATTTTTTGATAGTTAACCAAGAAATTTCCTAATTTGAGAAGGGATTTATTTAACTTTACACAGCCTTGGCTCTGTGTTCTTGTGTCAAGGGAGATCCTTGGAAATGGAGTGGCAAAAGAGACTAATGGCAGCTGTTACTTGAGACAAGATAGTCTTTTCATGTCTAAAAAGGTGTCAGGCCCTGCCATATTATAACAGCAGATAAAAGGAAACTGCAGTTAGAATATTACTGGGAGTTGTTGTAAACCCAAGTGCTACTGACGAAACCATAAACTCGGCGCTAGATTTGGCGCTTTTTCCTTCAGGAAACAAAACACTTTAACTGTTTCAAGAAAACAAAATTACAATCGGTGACAGAACCACTCTGCACAGTTCTCCTGCTCGTGTATCCTGCATTGCAGCTACCATCAGTACTGAATTTAATTTAATCACATAAGAAACCTTAAAATTCTTTAAGCCCAACCCTTGTGACCACCCCTGCCCCAAGACCAAGTTGTAGAGGTTTTGCCACTTCAGAGACTTGAGCACAACTGGAGAAAGGGACATACCTTTGAAAAATCTTGTTCATTAAAAACAGCTAGTCCTACTAAAATTCCTGATGGATATTTAACTTTCAGAAGCTGCCTGAATAAAAATCAATTAAGGAAAAGAATCAGGAATATTTTAAATGCCAATGTAGTGTAGAAGTAGCTCTACATTACCATTTGTTATTTGAATATCTTATTTTAAAATACAATTTGCTCTGCTAGAGCACCTCTGCAGCCAAGTTTGAAGCCCAGCTAGTTGTCTCACCAAATATTTTTCACAAACATTGGATCTGTGGTAAGTTTTGGGTATTCTTTGGCACATGGTAGAAGGAATTGTGAGTGTGGTCTGTTTTGGATAACTTCAGGGGCAAACTAGATGAGCCCTTGCATGCTGTCTTATTCGTCCATGCCAAGATCCCAGCGTTGCCCTGGCAGTGACACCACATAACAACAGACAGACGAGATAGACACAACCCTAGAAACTCTCCAAGTTTTAACTGCCTCAAAACCATGAAATTTGTGGCCCCCTGTGAGGCTGAATTCAGGCTATCTTTCAGTCCAACATGACTGACACGTCCCAGAGCAGATTTAGCTTTTAAGTGTCTGTTTCTCAGCCCACTGCAGTGTATTGTAAACATTTTCTTTGAAGCTTTTGCACTGGAGACTTAAATTTGCTGCTTGATCTACAACTGGGTAGGAAAGAGCCCTGAACTCAGTCTCAGAATCCCCAAAACCCGGAGTTTAATGGAACAAAGGGCTTCAAGAGTGACAGCCACATGCATCCCTAATGTACAGGGGCTTCATAGGACTTTATCTTCAAACTAATGTGTTGCTAGTTTTTCTAATTATTGAATGGCTTCTTTACCAAATCACACCAGTGGTGTCCCTCAGGGGTCTGTGCTGGGGCCAGTTCTGTTTAATATTTTTATTGATGACATGGATGAGGGTTTAGAGTCTTTCATTAGCAAATTTGCAGATGACACTAAGCTGGGAGCGTGTGTCGATCTGTTAGAGGGACGGAGGGCTTTGCAGAGGGACTTGGAACAGTTGGATGGATGGGCAGAATCTAATGGGATGAAGTTCAGTAAGTCCAAGTGCCGAGTCCTGCACTTTGGCCACAATAACCCCTTGCAGTGTAACAGGCTGGGGACGGTGTGGCTGGACAGTGCTCAGGAGGAAAGGGACCTGGGGGTGCTGGTTGACAGCCGGCTGAACATGAGCCAGCAGTGTGCCCTGGTGGCCAAGAAGGCCAATGGCTCCTGGCTAGTCTCAGGAATAGTGTGGCCAGCAGGAGCAGGGAGGTCATTCTTCCCCTGTACTCGGCACTGGTGAGGCCACACCTTGAGTATTGTGTCCAGTTCTGGGCCCCTCAGTTTAGGAGGGACGTTGAGATGCTTGAGTGTGTCCAGAGGAGAGCAAC